CCCCAACCCTCAGTTCCTCAGCCAGTTTTTCTCTAGTCCACCGATTCTAATCCTGGTTTTGGCAACTTCCACTCCCTACGCTTTAACTCGCTCTCTCTCTCTCTCTCTCTCTCTCTCTCTCTCACTTTAACCTTCCCCCAAGTATCCCAGATACCTTAAGCACACACATACACATTGTACTATTCAAGTTAGGAACTTACCTGTGTGTATGTGTAGGTGGGTTGTATGTGTGTGCCTGGTGCATGTGTGATATCAAGCTTTTCAAGTTATTTAATCTGTTGCCTCCAGCATCCAATTTTACTGTCAGTACTTGAGGCAGTATCAGTGATTCTTGGTTTTATCACTGATGACTTACATAATTATTCTGAAATAATGGGACAGTTTTCTCACAGAGGAAGAGTCTACCACGTTCTCAGAAAGTGTGACAGGCTTTTCAAACACAGTTTGGAAAATAAATAACTGTGCCTATTTTAAGATAAGCATCAGCAGAAAAAAATATTCTTAGCCTTTCAATTTTTTTAATGGATTCTAAGAGAGTTCAAGTGAATGTATCATGAAACAAGCTTCCTCCACTCAGACAAACCAGTTTGGATTTCACCCTTATCTTTCATTCTTTCTCTAAACAATGGCTGCTGGCAAGTCAGGATGACATCTGTCTAAAGCAGGTGGTAGACTAATGTTTCACGTTCTATCACAAACATATTGGAGGCATGTTAATGATTCTGATAATCATTACACCATCAAACTTGGCAAAATACACCATAATGTTCAGGCACCCTGCCTTCTCTAAATTTAAAATGAAGCACAGAGGGCTCTAAGAACAATGCAGAAAAGGAAGGATGACTGGGTTTACCAGGAAATATAATACCTCAAAGAAAATATACAATATGACCTCAAATGATGAATCTAATCCAATTTAATGTAAGTTTTTGTTTCTACTTGGGAGAACTTTTACAATCTTTATTCTCTCCTATGCCTGATGAAGGTGAGTGTGCCCAAAAGCTTGCAAATAAATAAAATAATGTGTTTGCAAATATCTAGTTGGTCTAATAAAAAGTATCACCTCTTCCACAAGTTTTGAATCTAATCTAATGCTCTTGTTATCCAGCAATTCTAGTTTCCCTGACCATTTTGGGTTTTTTATTGTACTGACTAAAGGACTAGACTAGATGGCTTTGTGAGACCCCTTTCAGCCCTATATTCATATGATCCTAAATGTATCACATTTAAATTTCATAGACATTAGGGCTGGCAGGGACCTCTGAAGATAATCGAGTCCAGCCCCCTGCCCCAGGAGCAGGAAGTCAGCTGGGGTCAAAGGCTCCCAGCAAGATAAATGTCCAAACATCTCTTAAAGGAGTCCAGAGTAGGCGCTTGCACCACCTCTGGAAGCAGTTTGTTCCAGGCCTTTGGGCTTGGACAGTTCTTCCTTATGTCCAGCCTGAAATAGTCTTGGAGGAGTTTATGACCTTTTGACCTTGTCATCCCTTGTGATGACACAAATCATATCTAGAAATTTCAGCTCCAGTTTGATTCCATATTGTAAAGCAAAAGAGGGAAACAATTACACTTACTTCTTTTTCAAAATCAGAGGATAGGAGCTTGACAAAATTATCTGGAAACACTCCACGTCTGCCGTTGAGTTCTCCTTCCCACCAACCTGCATCAATGCAATCCTAAAAAGACATAAAAATAAAATATAAAATTCAATACATACATGTGGTTCCACAGATTTCTACAACCTTCAGGCTTTCTCCTAGAGCATGGCAATTTTCTGCAACTCAAGGTCTGCTGTCCTAAATGAAAGCTACAATAATCACCCTGCATCCTGTTGTGATATGGAATGATGAAGGAAGAACAAAAGCCATATTGTAAGTTCTTAAGCAAGTCTGCCTGGGCTTAAAGCAAAATATCACCATTTCACTAAATTAATTAAACCCGTCAGTTCTGTTGTTAGGTATGATGTTAATTCCTCTCCATTTTCATTTTGGTGAAATAAAATAATTTTATGTAACTCCATTAAATTTTAGATTGTATTCTAGGTAGTTAAAAGTCTTTTTTTGCTTTTCATTTCAGATCTCTGGTGGTAAAATATCTTCAGAAAGATCCTGATACATTCAGACTACTTTTAAAATTAGATTTCAGCACAAGTTTGTTTAAAAATGGTTATCTATTCATCTGTCATTGATTACTCATATGCTTAAATCTAGCACTGCAGTATTCCATGAGTGGCACAAACTAATGTACGCAACAGAACAATATGCAACTAAGATGGTGACAATAAAGACACTGAATTATGACATCAATAACTAAATTGGGCAGGAAGCATAAGCTGTTTCTAAATGAAACAAAAAATTAACACCAATATTAATTGGCAGATATAGAGCTCGGACTAGCGTCCAAGATTAAGGATAACAA